AAAAAGTAAAGAAAATGTATGATAAGCATTTTCCAGTTGCATTGCTGTTAACCTCACAGCATGTCAAAAATCCAGCAGCAGAACTAGACGCTCCAGACACTGGAGGAGTGATCCCTTATTGGCCGATCATGCTCAAATCCAGCCCCCTAGGTCCCCCAATTACTGGACAAACATATCCCAATTTTTATTCAGCTTTCTTTAGCTCCAAGATCTGGAATTCCTATATGACAAAATTCTACGCTCTTCTTTCTCCTGCTATAAATATATGAAATTAAATATAACAGCGATTCAGTAATCAGCTGCTCTGTCCCCCAAAAAATCTAAAAAGAGGAAACACTAAATGTGAACTTGAATCGGTGTGAATTTCCACTATGACTCTACAATACTCGAATGCTTTTGATCCCACATGGTGGAGGGGTTTAGAAAAGAATAAACTAACTACAAGCTGTATGTATTGATAGGCAGATTAGTGGATGGACTCGTGATTATTGCATTTTTGGCGTTATTCAGTGTGGGATCAATGCCATTTGAGTACAGTAGGGATGTACTGGAAACTAGTTCACCTTTAGATCTTCAACTATTATTATGACCAGCCAGGTCTTTCAGAGAGCATCACACGTCCGCATATTAGTTCGCTGCAACTTTGGTGCAGTTTCAAGCAAAATGCAATTTCAATAGGTATCAGAGCTGATTCACACATGTACGGTGCGGACTGAAGCTCAGGTGTCACAGCTAAGTGATACAGTAGTTGCTCACTTGTTCAGGTCAGGTTTACATCAGGTTCAGGACAGGATTAGCTCAGGATCTTATCCTGTTCACACATATGCGGTTTAGAAACAGTTCCCAGAGAATTCAATAGCCTGTAATCCACACCTGAACCTGAAGGCACTGCTCAGAAATCGTACAGGACTCTTTTTCAAACCGCACTGAATCCGCACCGCCAGTGCACCGGACATATGTGAACAGGCACCATAGGAAGCAATGTTTTTTCACATGTCATGCAGATTAGATGTGGTTCAAACCATATCCAATTTGCATATATGTGAACAGGCACTAAGTTGCTATACACCAAAGTCTAAGGTGCCCATTTCTAAAGCAGCAGTATGATGTTACCTCAGCCAAAAAAAAAAAGTGCCTTCCACTTTGCTTGCTTATTGACTCAGAAGCAAGTAAAACCTCATATAGTGAATGAAAGAAATGGGAGCCTGATCTCATGACCAGGGGTGGACTGACAACTCATGGGGCCCCTGGGCAATAGGGGATCACGGGGCCCCTGTGTCCTTGCCCAAACTCAAAAAAGCCTATGAAAAAGGTACCAGGGGCATCTCATGGGGCCCCCTACTTGCCCCGGGCCCTCGGGCAGTGCCCAAGTTTCCAAATGGTCAGTCCGCCCCTGCTCATGACCCATCAAAGCCAAGCTTTCTTCTTATCACGGAGTGTTCTTTGCAGCATAAACACTGCGAGGTCTTGCAGAGAGCACTTAGAGATATCTGCCCCCCATAATTAATAAAATGTTTTTTAGTTTGGAACTCAAGGAATATCAAACATTTTGACTGGAGAAAAAGATCAACAAACCACAAACTTAAAGACCCCCATTGAAAACAGCTGCAAATTTTAAATAGCTTAAAGAAGAAAGCCTGTTTTGAGAGATCCAGGCGAGACGGCCAAGGCTGAGCACTGCTTCTGGCAATGTTAGCTTGCCTGGTTCCCAAGCTGACTCTGGGTTTTCTGGGAATTACAAACAGGTACGGGCTTATGACTTTTCTCACGCTCTCCTGACCTGAACACTTGATCCAGGTCAGTTACTCAAAGTAACATAGCAGCCAAGCAATCTACATTTTCAGAAGGTGGTCAGCAATGGCTGCCACCATGTTTTACTTCTGATGTACCAGTCATGGAGCAAGCACTTCTTAGAAGGAGATTAGACAACAGTGCAAACATGAGGTTGTGATAAGTTCTCTTTAACCCTATTATGGATCTAGTGTATTATGATCCAACTCGCTTATTGAAAAGGCGCTGGAATGGTCTGGAACAAACTTCCAAATCTGCTGAGGATCTATGTGAACACTGTGAGGATTAGCATGCCATGAATTGTCACTTGACCATGGAAAATGCAATTGTTCTGTGGCAAATCATTACAGTATATGTTTTCGGATTTAACACACCAATACTGTCAGTGTAGGATGTTCTAGAGCCAGGGAAAGCATCTCAAATTATCGATTGTTGAATGTTTTCACTCTACCCAAAACTGAGCTCTTCGGTACAGGGGCGGACTGACAACTCATGGGGCCCCTGGGCAATAGGGGATCATGGGGCTCGTGTCCTTGCCCAAACTCAAAAAAGCCTATGAAAAAGGTACCAGGGGCATCTCATGGGGCCCCCTACTGACCCCGGGCCCTCGGGCAGTGCCCGAGTTTCCAAATGGTCAGTCCGCCCCTACTTTGATATAAGTAAACCCTGGTGGACTGAATCACCCACTGACTCTTTCAAATCTCCACCATCTTCAGTATTGAGATCGTTATCGCTCTGAGAGAAGTAAGTGGCTGACTCAGACTTTCAGCATCTACCCAGAAATTACAGAATAGATGTGGACTATTCCTTTAAAATCAAAATATATATCATAGCATGGGTGAGAATACACAGGAGCATTTGTTCAGGGTGAATGTAGGTGAAATGGCTTGACTTTTCTTTTTTTTTTAGACCTGTAGGCACTGATCCAATCAGTATCCATGGCTGGCCAGTCTTTGCCTACCATTGATCAAAATATTGTACTGCCTTTCATTCAACACTGGCGCTGAATGACCTCTTCTGTTGTTTGATCAGTTGTTGTACCAGCCAAGAACGTTTCAGCCACTCCTTGTACAGACATAACTTGGGCACACAGCTACTGTGGACACAGGGAGATATTTACTAAAACTGGAGAGTGCACAATCTGGTGCAGCTCAGCACAGTAACCAATCAGCTTCCAGGTTTTATTGTCAAAGCTTAATTGAATAAACTAAAGTTACAAGCTGATTGGCTGCTATGCACAGCTACACCAGTTTTCGTAAATCCCCCGTATACAATACCCAAGTTAAATGATTTAGTCCACAGTGGCCATCAGCAAAGCCATAGGCAGCACAGCAAATATACAATTTCTGCAATCACGGTTTCTTTATAGGCATGTATTCTGCAAAGCAGCTTGTATTTTCAGTCCTTTGGCCATTTAAAAGGTAAGTCCACCCTCAGGCATGCAGTCAGCTACACTATATGGTTAAAATTTATGGCTACCAGCAACCTCCACTCCCTCCTATCCCCAATAACAGCTTCCACTGCTCTGGAAGGTGTTCTGTCTGTGTGAATTTATTTCTATTTAACCAAAGAGCACTTATTTTCACAGTTACATTTTGTAATCCCAGTGAGATTTTGTGTTAAAGGGTAACTGTTTCCAATATTCAACAAAACTGCCTATAGAATTAGATATGAGAGGCAGACATCCTTGCTGTCATAGGCTGCTTAGGTTTGTGTTTGCAGGTTTGCTCCTCAGGGTCAATTGAGACCTCAGTATTGTGGTAACATGCATTTCTACGCATGTCAATGCCTCCAAGTTCAGTGCCATTCATTGTAAATGGAACCCTAACACACTATAGAGTAGCAGGCAAAACACCTGTACTGCAGCACATCTGTGCATTGTGGTGCATTGTGTGGGGGAAAATAAAAGATCATGGAGTGTTTATAAGTGCATTGGCAGCCCTTGAAAATATAAATGGGCTGCCTTAACAGATAGCGTGTTAATGCCGAGCAGTAATGCACCACAATACAACAATAGTGTGTAAATATACACGAAGTGTCATGCATGTGGCAAGCCCAGACATAATGAAAAATGGCCCCCAGAATAAAAATGCAACATATCAGAACAGCACTGGCTCTAAGGGCTGTAGTGCTTTTGGCAGATTTGAGAAGAAAGGTGAGGGTAACTGGAATATTAGTTGTTTTTCCAAATACAAAGTTACTCTTTGAAGTAAACCCGTGTTCTGCAAATACAGGGTAAAGCAGCAGAGTGACTTTAACGATGGGCCCCGCAGCTGCTTACTTCACCGTTCCTTTGCAAGAAGCAATGAAAAATACCTGCTACATCCAGGTGGCTGTTCAGGGATCCATTGCTGTCACATGGGGGGGAATAGTCCCTAGCCTTGTGTAAGCTCCAGCTCACGGCTCATACAAGGACTCCTGGTGGCAAGCGAATTGAAGGAAGGCAAGTACCATCAGCTGATAGGGCCACAACATGTGTACCTATTCTTCCCCGCATGGGCAAAAAAACGGGCTCACTTTACGGAAACCAATACAGAAGGCTGAATAAACCCTGTACATTTTCAGCAGCATTTTCTACACATAACTTGGTATTTGTCAAGCCCCACAATAATGCTGTGTTACCATTTCAGAGATGATTATTAAAAAAAAATAAAAAATAATAAAAACAATAGTGCAGCTCCCCTTGGTAACAAAACTGAAATAAAAGATGGACATCTGGCTTAGAAAAGACCTGCAGAGGATATCACCAGGTGCCTCACTGCAGCAACAACTGTCCATCAGCCTTCACCCCAAACATGCTGCACTGTATTCTATCTATAGGAATTTTCATTCATAAGCAATTCAGGCCTAAACAAGCCTACACAAAACAGGCTTCATACAGGCAAATGGACTTGTCTGCTTTTCAGATGCCTACTTGTCCTTTTCCATTAATACCATCTGTTTTTGCTTTTTTTTTTTCCTTCAATGGTGCTTCATGCTCAGCAAAGAATGATATTGCAACATGTTTGTTAGAAGGGGACAGGATGAGATCCATGCTGAATACCCTTGTCAAAAATCACTGTACTGTTAAAAAGTAGTAATAAAGAGTCCTCTTGCTTGTCCTTTAAAATGTTACGGAGGGACAGGCTTGAGCTGTGCCTCTCTGTTCCACAGGAGGGCGCTGCCCTCCATCAAGCCGCTTCCCTGATCTTCAAAGTCCCTCCATGGCTTTATTTTAAAATGAGAGTGGCTTCAGTTCCATCCTTCTTGGTTAGGTAGAGTCCGTGATGGAGGTGGTATTCTCTCCGAAGGAAGGCGTAAAAGTAATCTGACACCAGGAGAATCTGAAGAGGAGAAATACAAGTGTGTGAAAAATATTTCACTCCATGGTCGATTTAATCTACTCATATTTTGCCTTCCCCTTTGTTCCTTCTTTCCCTTCAACAACATGCTAATGAAACTTAAAATAAAACCTTTCCATTTTCATAATATGCTGCATGTCAGTGCCAATGATATCATCACTGGGCCGCTTTACTTCTCTTCACAATGCAGGCACATCATGGCTGGGGGGAGAGGCTGGCAGGGTGCTGTATATAGCGGCCTAAAAAAGGAAGCGGTGGCAACACCCACGTAGGATGCTGAACCTCCATGATTGAAAAAACAAATCCAATGAATACTATGCAGAGCCATACAAAGCAGCATTCAGGAGCTGACAGGGGAGAGATCTGTATTGTTTACATACAGGTCTCTCCCTCATCAATAATACTCGGAGATTGCCAGGTGTCGGTGGGGAATCACCGGCCGGATCCCGGTGATTGACAGCCGAGGCCACGAATGGCGGCGTGTGTAGGGTGCGCGAGCCCCCTACCTGGAACTGCAAAATCAAGTATCAATACATAATTTTGCACACCCGTGCAAACCTGTAGCATTATTTATGCTATAAGGCGGCGCAGAAGCGGTTAAGTCTGTCCTAAAATATTGAAGTTTTACAATTGTTGGATGTTACTGTGTGCTTCCAGCGGTTTCTCTCTGGATTATTATTATTATACAGTATTTATAAAGCGCCAATGGTTCGCTCAGTGCTGTACATTACAAAGAGGGACAGAACATGTGACAGAACAATACCAATACAATGCAAAACATGAGGGGATCGAGGGCCCTGCTCTTTCGAGTTTACAATCTAGGAGGGAGGGGATGGTGGTACAGGAGGAGATAGCTGTGGGGGATGGAGTGGTAGGAAGAGTGGAGGAGGTTGGCAAGTTAGCAGGGGGTGGGGTAGGCTTCCTTGAAGAGGTGGGTTTTCAGGGTGCGCCTAAAGGAGAGGAGAGTAGGTGATAATCTGATGGGTTGGGGCAGGGAGTTCCAGAGGATGGGTGACACCCTGGAGAAGTTCTGGAGGCGGGCATGGGAGGAGGAGACCAGGGAACTAGAGAGAAGGTGGTCTTGTGAGGAGCGGAGTGTGCGTGCTGCTGGGCGGTACTTGGATATTAGGTCAGTGATGTAGTTCGGGGCAGTATGGTGGACAGCTTTGTATGTCAGCGTTAGGATTTTTAATTTGATCCGTTGCGCAATCGGAAGCCAGTGGAGGGATTGGCAGAGGGGGGTGGCGGAGATGGAGCGGTTGGAAAGGTGAATGAGTCTGGCAGCCGTATTCAGGATGGACTGAAGCGGGGATAGCCAGCGGCGAGGCAGGCCAGTGAGGAGGGAGTTGCAGTAGTCGAGTCGTGATATGATGAGGGAGTGGATGAGCTGTTTAGTGGTTTCTGGGGTTAGGAACGTGCGGATTTTGGCGATGTTGCGGAGGTGGAGTCTGCACGAGTTTGTTAAAGATTGGACTTGGGGCTGGAAGGATAGGTTGGAGTCCAGAATGACATCAAGTACTCTGGCCTGCGGGGCGGGTTTGATGGTGGCGTTGTTGGATGTGATGGAGAAGTCAATGGGGGGTGCTGACAATGTGACATGAGGAAGAGCTGAGGGAGTGATCCACTTTATACATGCATCGAAATTTGGCTGGTTCAGAAGAGACCGGTGGAATTTCAATCCAGGTACAGAGGTTAGACAAAAAAATTAAAACACTGCATGATTTACAGGTGTGAAAGTGATGGCATGTTAAGCGTTGAAAGTGATGTAACATTCTTTCCTCCCGCTGTGTGATGAGACACCTAGCTAACAGGTTAGAAGCGTCACTTTTGTCATTCGCTGCGTGCCCTGCTAGTAGTACGGAGTCATGTCAGAGCTTGCCGAGCTTCAAGGAGGGCAAATTGTTGGAGCCGTTTAGCTGGTGCCTCTGTGACTGAAGTTGCCTATTTATGTGTCGTGTCGAAGGTGGTGAGCAATGGCAAGCACTATTCTTTTACATCAGTTGTAATACAACAAGCTAGGAGAATAGGATGATGGGAAGAAAATAAACCCAATGGGCTCTATTAAAAACTGAGCAGCCTATTATCTGGTTTGTAAGAGATGTTTAACAGGACAGGTGGAACATGCGGTCATATGGCTCCTGTATCTATTAATACATACAGGCTTTGCACTCTAAACAAATCTGAAACTATGCTCCGTGACAAGACTTACCTGGCCCACGTTAAATGACAATGTGATGGCATAGAAGAAGTTTGAGTTGGCACTGCCTGCGTATATCCACAAGTGCCAAAGAACTGGAAAGAGTAGCGAACATACCACCAGCATGCACGAGACTATGAAGATGTTCCGCAGGACTGTAAGAATGGAAAAAAACAAAAACAGAGCAACAATGAGCTAAGACATACATAGAGATAATATACATAGAGATATAGTACACAATGCAAACTGTTCTCTGATAATTATTTCCAAAAGATGAGTTTTCCTTATCCTAAATCTGTTTTCACAGATATTTAAAGCAGCTGATGCATATCCTTGGCAAATGAGTGCATATAGACCGTAAGTGGGAGGTTGAAGGAGATCAGCAGGATAAAGAGTTGGAAACAATATTAAAAATAAAAGTCAGTGTTTTATTATACACAGTGCTTTAGCAAATCAAGTATTACATTCAATCAGGGTTTACATCTACTTTAACCAAGTCCAATACGGCTTAAAGTAGAACTAAAGGCAAAACGTTTTTCATTTTGGATAGTAAAGGAGGGTTATTAACCACTTTCAGTTTCACTTTTTTTTTCCATCTGTGCCCAATTGAGGATGTATTTCTACACTTACTTTCACAAAATCAAAAACAGGAAGCAAGAGGAAATTTTTTCAAAACTGAAAGATTTCCTGGTTGTCACTGAAGGATAGCAGATAGCGCACCTAAGAGTCTGCAAGAGCCTGGCATTGCACCCGCAATCTACTGTTCATGGATGCAAAGCTCTGCAGGCTCCTTAGAAGAAAAAAAAAAAAAAAAGCACTCTGGACCTGCAAAAACTGTGCATTTATAATTACTATTATTTTTTTTTTTTTTTTTTTTTAAAGGTGAACTTATCCATTACTGTTTATTTGAACAAATTGATCTCTTGTTGCCCCTTAGCTGCAAGATGAATCTTATTTGATGGGTCAGGGTCTGCTGGGCCCCGGTGCTAGTGTAAAAATCTTTGTTGTACATTTTTACTTTAAGAAATCTTTAATGAAATGTTCTACTGTTAAAAGAGAAAAAAAAATATAAATTAAAAATTATATATATATAATTTTTTTTTATTTTTTTTTTGGTTGGTTAACTACTAAACAGCTAAAACAGTTTAGCTGTTTAGTAGTGATGATATTAGTATATCATTTAAAGTGGTAGTAAACTTGTTAAAAAAAAAACCCACACACACCTTTCTTCCCGCAAGGTAATGCCATAATCAATGTATACTAGCACATTATGAAAGACTTGCCTTGAAACAAAGCCCTCCACTGATAGCCTGGGCTTCCATCTTCACCTGGTCTTCCTGCCGGGCTTCGCTTAAATGGCAGTGCTGCAATGACGTCACTCCGGCTAATTCACACGGGAGCCTCGGCACAAAGCTCTGAAGGAATGACATGGGTATGCCGTTCCTTTAGAGCACATGTGCTGGGGCTGCTCACTGGCACATGTCCTATACGGTGCACGTTTAGGAGATATTCATTTTACCTACAAGTAAGCTTTATTATAAGCTCACCTGTAGGTAAAAATCAAGTTCAGGAATTCACCACCCAAGCAACATGCTGGCAAGAGGGCATAAAGATGTGATCAGCAGCATGCTGCTTCTCCACTTGCTGTCTAATCATGGGCTGGTAAGGAAATGGGGGGGGGGGGGGGGGTAGTTGTTGAGACCTGTAAGGGTAGCCATACAAGGATCAAAAATCATCTGGTTCAGCAGGAACTAGGCAAATGTCTATCCATGTATGGGCAGGCTGGTTGTACAGGAGTCAATCGGTAGTGTTATTTACCTGCGGCAGACTCAGATTAGCTCTCTTCCACTGCCAAACAGGGCTGTGCGGCAGAGCTGTGCTCTTGTAGGTTGCACTAGCATATACGCATGTTATCGGTGTATTTAGTGGATTGCCTGGCGTTCAACTTTAAGATACAACATTGCAGCAAGCTTGTAAGAGACTTACATCTGGACAGGTGGGCCCACATAGGAAGCAGAGCCATGTAGAGTGCCACATCTCCCACGGTGGGGTATGACTTGAAAATGCAGATAATGGCCAGCTGTACAAATATCAGGAACATGGGATGCTCTCTACAATAATAATCAATAGAAACAATTTGAGAAAATCAATTTGCAAAGCTTTAAATACTAAAATCGACAACGACCACTCAACGGATCAAGAAAGACTGCGTTTTAATTGAACAATATTCAGAAAGGTGGGCAGAGGTTTACATTGACATTTCATATGTTATAGCTGTTAAAAATGAGTAAAGTGTGTGCAACTTACTTTAACTTGATGGTCAGAGGCACGGTGTAAAAGAACACATTGATCTGGAAGACACACACGAAGAACAAGCTGAAGTGTTCAAACATCTCCGCGAAGAAGTACCAGAACAAGCCAATATTTGGAGTCAAATCTGGGACAGAGAGTCTAAGAGGTTGGACACAAGAGATAAAGATCACATGGGTACGACTCGTATATCTGTCATCATTCTCTACAACAAGCAGGCCATGAACACTATATGGTGGTCAGACGCACAGACCTATAACTCCAACCACTAATGGCAGCATCCCGTCTACACTTTGCATGCATGTCATGCCGATTTTAAATTCAGAATCTCTTAAAGAGAAATTTAAAGTGGTTGTAAACCCCTATATATATATCCAAGGAAAGTCTGGGAAGATGTATTAAAGCGCATATCTAGTTTATTGTATAGGAAAGCAGCTAAAAAAAAAAAAGAAACATAAAAAAATACCATACTGTATGCCAGTGCGGGGGGGGGGGGGGGGACCCAAAAGGTTCACACATATCACACTATCCTCACTGCTTATTAATAACCAAAGGGGTTATGATATGGGGATACCTGGAGCAGCGCTACCTTCTCTCCCTACATATATCCAGTGAAGTGACTGGCCTCAGGTTATACACAGTGATGAAACAAATCCTCTTACACAAGTTGTACCTGTTTATCAGTGGTCTTCTCTTCTCTACATCCATTCAAAATATGTAATTTATAAAATTTGTCTGAGCTGTCAAAAACAGGGGGCTGACAGCTGAAATTTCACACTACAGAGCTCAGTGAGGAGAGTTCTGAGAGCTGATTGGAAGGAAGGGACACACCCCCTCCACACAACTCACAGGAAAAGAGCTAAGGCTGTCAATCTGCTGAAGCTCCCTCCCATCACCATTTTTGGTGTCAGGAAAACTGGTCAAAACTGACACATGCAGATAGCAGAGAAATGGGGCAGTAGACAGAAATGACACTTCGGCTGGATTCACATCTGTCACGTTTTTTTACAGCATTCTTGAGCTTTGACAGGTTGTTTTAATAGCCAACAGAAAAAAATATCAGGTTTCATCATTTGTTACAATGGTTCAAGCTTTTTCAATTGTTATTAATTTTTGTTTTTAAATTTTTGTCAGGAATTAGGCTTAACCTATTTATTTTTTATTCAAAAATGTTATATATATTTATACATGCATACATACATACATACATACATACATACATACACACACTTTTGTTTTAACTGCTTCCCCTGTGCAAAATCACGTATATACACACGTGATTTTGTATTTCTGGGTAAGGGGTGCGCACTCCCTACCCGCACCACCACTGGCTGCTACAGCTGTCAATCACCGGGTGCCGGCCTGAGATTCCCTGCCACCACTCGGCAATCACCGACTCTCACTGACAAGGTCTGTATGTTAACAATACAGATCTTTACCCCGTCAGCTCCAGCACACTGCTTTGTATTGCTCTGCATAGCAGAGCAATACAAAACAGCGTGCCTCCCTAGTAAAGAACATACACAGCTAACCCTTTGATCGCCCCAGATGTTAACCCCTTCCTGACCAGTGCCATTAGTACAGAGTCGATGCTTTTTTATTAGCACTGATTACTGTATTAGAGTCACTGGGGATGTCAGTGACAGTTAGTCAATCCCCCCCCCCCCCCCCCCCCAGTGTCAAAATACCTGCCGCAGTCCCCCTATAAGTTGCTGATCGCCACCATTACTAGTATAAAAAAAAAATTAAAAAACAACTTCCAGTATATATACCATTTGTGAAACGCTACAACTTTCACGTAAACCAATTAATTTACACATATTGGGATTTTGTTTAGCAAAGACATGTAGCAGAATACATTTTGGCCTAAATTTATGGCAAAATTAGATTTTTTAATTTTTTTTACTGGATATGTTTTACAGCAAAAAGTCAAAAATATTGGTTGGTTTTCAAAATTGTCGGTCTTTTTTTTGTTTATAGCGCAAAAATAAAAAAAAAAAACCCCTCAGAGGCGATTAAATACCTCTAAAAGAAAGCTCCATTTGTGGGGAGATAAAACATGACAAATTTAATTTGGGTGCAGCGTTGCATGACCGCACAACTGTCAGTTAATGTAACGCAGCGCCATATCGCAAAATATGGCCTGGTCAGGAAAGGAGGGTAAATCCTCTAGAGGGTAAGTGGTTAATATTCGATTTTTTCGTTGATTATCATTTGATTTCATCATTTATTATCACATTATTTTAATTATTGCATTTTGAGCAGAAAAACGCACAAAAAAGTGTGGCAATGTGCAAAAAGGCTCAAAAACACAGGAATCACGCTTTTCAATGCATTTCTGTGGAGAAAAAAAAATGCAATCCATTCAAGGAATGCCATGAGTGATAACTGTCATATTTGCTTTGCCCTCAACTGAACTGTCAAGTCATCACATGGCTGGAGTCAAAACTGATCACCTGTGCAGCAACTGTAGATCAAACACGGGCTACAATGTCCACTTTAATGGATGTAAATTATAAACCGAGCTCCTGGTCTTCCCCCCCCCCCCCCGTGCCCCCCCCATCCTCTCCATCACTACTAACAACGCCACCATCTCTCCCACCCCACACGCCAAAGTCCTGGGTGTCACCCTGGACTCCCACCTCTCCTTCCTACCCCACATCCAACTGCTATCTAGATCTTGCAGGCTCCACCTCCGCAACATCTCCAAGATACGCACATTCCTCACCCCAGACACCACCAAACAACTCGTACACTCCCTCATCATCTCACGCCCGGACTATTGCAATTCCCTTCTCACTGGCCTACCCAAACAAACACTATCCCCACTCCAGTCGATCCTGAACTCAGCGGCTAGACTCATCCACCTCAGCAACCGCTCCACATCTGCCTCCCCCCTCTGCCAATCCCTTCATTGGCTCCCGATTGCCCAACGCATCAAATTCAAACTGCTAACTCTGACCTACAAAGCCATTCACAATGCCGCCCCAAACTACATAACTGACCTGATACCCAAATACTACCCTACCCGTGCCCTCTGCTCCTCACAGGACCTCCTACTCTCTAGCTCCCTGGTCTCCTCCTCTCACGCCCGATTGCAGGACTTCTCCAGGATTCCCCCATCCTCTGGAACTCCCTACCCCAATCCATCAGACTGTCACCTACCCTCCTCACCTTCAGGCGCACCCTGAAAACCCTCCTCTTCAGGGAAGCCTACCCCAACCTCACCTAACACCTGACCTCACCTAACAACTAACCTCCTCCACTCCTCCCACCACTCCATCCCACACAGCCATTTCCTCCTGTGCCACCTTCCCCTCCCTCCTAGACTGTAAGCTCGAAAGAGCAGGGCCCTCAAACCACTCATGTATTGTATTGTTACTGTCTTGTCTCATGTTCTGTCCCCCTTGCTACTGTACAGCACTGAACATACCCTTTGGCGCTATATAAATACTGTATAATAATAATAATAAAGGGTTTAGCTCCACTTTAAATACAGTAAATATTGAACAGGCAAACAAAAATGATACTCACATGAAGCCATAAATGGAGTGGATGAAGTCCCAAGAGTTTAGCAAGAAGAAGGAATGGCAAATTAAAACCGCAAGGCAACCCAGGTACAGCGATGAATACTGACAAGTGTAAAGCCAGAAATCCCTACTGGACATCTTCACTGGAATGAATTCTCTCTAAAATAAAACATATATGTTAGTACCGGCTTAATCTGCTTGTGCTATTATGGGTATAATGATATCAGAGGGTACCTGCAGTAGATAGAGGAGTGCTGGAGTAAACAGTGTGATTGGGTACAGGGACTGGTATGTAGCCAATGAGAGGAACACAGCGCTGAGAAGCGGACTACCTAAAGAAAACCAGCCAAAAGTTAGTAACCTTTGAGCACATTAAAAAAAATGTTGCAAAATCTAAACATTAAAATGTAGTAAAGACTGCCCAGTCTACCTTTGTGACCATATTTCAGGTTACACCCATATTTAGGGTGTAACATTGAATATGGTCACATTCCCCACGCCCCTACTCTCAAACTGCATTCCGCTTACCTGAATAGTGGGGTACCTCTACTGCAACCTACCGTTTGTGTGTAAATTTGGTGGTGTGGGTGTACAGTTAGGTCCATATATATTTGGACACAGGCACAATTTTCATACTTTTTGGCTCTGTATGCCACCAGAATAAATTCAAATGAAACAATCCAAATGAATTTGAAGTGAAGACTTTCAGCTTTAATTCAAGGGGTTGAACATAAATATCAAGTACAAAGTTTAGGAACTGCAACCATTTTTATCCACAGTCCCTCCATTTTTAGGGGTTCAAATGTAATTGGACAAATTAATATAATCATAAATAAAATGTTCATTTGTAATATTTTGTTGAGAATCCTTTACTGGCAATGACTGCCTGAAGTCTGGAACCCATGGACATTACCAAAGACTGGGTTTCCTCCTTTCTGATGCTTTGCCAGGCTCTAACTGCAGCTGTCTTCAGTTGTTCTTTGTGGGTCCTTTCTGCCTTTAGTTTTGCCTTGAGCAAGTGAAATGCATGCTCAATTGGGTTGAGATCAGGTGACTGACTCGGCTATTGCAGAATATTCCACTTTTTCCTTCAAAAGCTCCTGGGTTGCTTTTGCAATGTGTTTTGGATCATTGTCCATCTGTACTGTGAAGTGCTGTCCAATCAACTTTATTGCATTTGGCTGAATCTGGGCTGACAGTATATCTGCAGAATTCATCCGGCTGCATCTGTCACATCATCAATAAACACCAATGACCCAGTGCCACTGGAAGCCATGCATGCCCATGCCATCACACTGCCTCCACCATGTCTTACAGATGACGCTTTGGATCATGAGCTATTACAAACTTACTCCACAGTTTTTTCTTCCCGTCATTCTGGTACAGACCAATCTTAGTTTCATCCGTCCAAAGAATGCTTTTCCAGAACTGGTCTGGTTTTTTTTTTTTTTAGATATTTTTGGCAAAGTCTAATCTGACTTTTCTATTCTTCAGGCTTATGAATGGTTTGCACCTCGTGGTGAATCCTCTGTATTTGCTCTTGTGAAGTCTTCTCTTGATTGTAGACAATGATACGCCCACCTCCTGGAGTGTCCTTCACTTGTCTGGATGTTGTGAATGGGTTTTTCTTTACCATAGAAAGGATCCTGCGATCATCCACCACTGTTGTCTTCCATGGACGTCCATGCCTTTTTATGTTGCTGAGCTCACCAGTGTGTTCTTCTTTCCTCAGAATGTACCAAACTGTTGATTTGGAAACTCCTAATGTTGCTGCTATCTCTCTGATGGATTTGTTTTGTTTCTGAAGCCTTACAATGGCCTGTTTCACTTGCATGGACAGCTCCTTTGAACGCAAGATGTAGGTTCACAGCATTAGATTCCAAATGTAAATACCATTCTTAGAATCAACTCCGGACCTTTTACCTGCTTAATTGATGAAGAAATAACGAAGGAGTAGCCCACACCTGGCCATGAAACAGCTTTTGATTCAACTGTCCAATTACTTTTGGTCCCTTGAAAAAGGTGGGATGGCTAATCTTAAGAGCTGTAATTCCTAAACCCTTCCTCCAATTTGGATGTACATAACCTCAAATTAAACCTGAGAGTGTGCACGTTCAGCCAATATCCATTGTATAAAACTATAGCTTGAATATGTTTTGGTAAATACCTGAAAAATGAAAAACTTGTGCCTTTGTCCAAATATGTATGGACCTAACTGTTTGTGGCTCCACCCACACAGCCACACTGTCCATTTATAAATCCATTTACAGGGATCTGGGAATGAAAACACTACAAATCCTCCCTACTACTGCGGCAGAGGGACTCACAGATCTCAAATGAAACAAGTGCAGTGATGTCACCACTAGGGATGCACTGAAATCTCGGTGGCCTAAACGTTTCGGCTGAAAACACCCTTAATTGGCCGATATGAAAATAGGCACTAACACAGGTTCCGAAAATAACCCCACCCCCTCGCCGCCACCTGCAGCCGCCTGGTAGTTCTCAGCCTTACCTGAGAAACCAATGAACAATCCCAGCGCTTGGCATAGAGATAAGTGAAGGAAAGATGGCCTCCACTCATCTCTATACCCTTGGAGGACCGGAGCGATGTAATTTCTGTTTCTGGCACCTTGTACACAAGGCCTTTTTTTTTACATTTTTTTTCTATAAAAGCACTAGATCAATGTTTTATTTTTATCTAATGCTTTACATTGAAGAGGAGAGATGTGGGTCTTATTGACCCCATATCTCTTCATAAAGAGGACCTGTCACTAATTATTTCTAATCATAACGGATGCATGCATTCCTTGTAATAGGAATAAAAGTGATTTAAATTTTTTTTGAAGGGACAGAGTAAAAAATAAACGAATAAAAAAAAAAGTGCCCCTGTCCCCCAGTGGTGAAAACATACGTAATCCATGCCCACAGATGTAAAAAGTGTTCAAACCACACATGTGAGGTATCGCCACGAACGTCAGAGCAAGGGCTATAATTCTTAAACTAGACCTCCTCTGTAAGGCTACGTTCACACTAGACGTTGCGTGCAGGCGGCAGTGAGGCGTTTGGGAAGCGTTTTTACCGCTTCCCAAATGCCTCAGACAATTCTGCACATTGCAGCACATGGTGCTGTTCTAACGGGAGCGTTAGCGTCGCGTCACGGCAAAACGGACGCCTCTGGTTAAGTCAGGAGGCATTGAAGCCTCCTATTCTAGTCTATGGTGCCGCTCCGCAAACGCCATTTACACTTCATTATAGGCATTTGTGGGGCGTTTTTAACGCTCGGCAAACGCCTAGCAACCGCCGCAAAACCGGCATGAGTCGTTTGCGGAGCGTTTGCCGAGCGTTAAAAAATGCTCCGCAAGCCGGACCAACGCTTGCCAAACGCTATAGGGGCGTTTGGCAAGCGTTGGTAAAACAGTCAAGTGTGAACGAGCCCTAACTTTTGCAGAAATATTTAAAGCGTCACCCATGGAGATCTTTAAGTACCGTAGTTTGACGCTATTCCACGTCCGCAATTTTAAAGCATGTTGGGTATCTATTTACTTGGTGTAACATCATCTTTCATATTTTACAAATAAATCAGTGTTTTTTTTTTTCTTTTTTTTCCCTTAAATCATTAAAGCGGAGTTCCAGCTGAAAAAAAAAAAGTCAGCACCTACAAAAACTGTAGCTGCTGACTTGTAAAATACAGACACTCACCTGTCCCTCGGTCCAGCTGTGTCCTCACCACTGTTGGTTTCACCGGCTGTCTTCTCTCCCTGGCGCCGGCATCTTTAGTGTAGGTACCCGGCTGTGACAGCTTGCAGCTTTGTGCTGCGCTTTGTGAATGGCCCCGTAGTCTTCTGGGACCTGCCACGTGCCCCAGAAGACTACGGGGAGGGAGGGGGGAGGACAACTTCGGTTTCCAATTGCCTAGGCGATCGCAGCAGAAGTGGGAGCGGGGACCTGTCAAATTTGCTCCCCAAAGGTGCCAATCCTTAATGAGGAGCGGAGGATAAAGCATTAAAGCGGAACTTCCCCTTTTGGGTGAAGCTCCGCTTTCAAGTGTATTTATTTCCAAAAAAAAAATTGTGTTTGAAAAATATATTACTTTTTAAAAATGGTCCATTTCAGTTTTCGGCTAAGTGCATCCTGAATTTCGGTTTCGGCACCAGAATTTTATTTTCGGTGCATCACTAGTCACCACACTTGTAGACCACTAATTACTTCCTCCAGCCCTATAACAGTACGCGTGTACCCTCGTACAGACCCGGGGTTGAGATGTAAACAATGCAGAAGCCTGTGCACTGCACCCGCAATGATCTGTAGTCTTTAATTAAAATATTTAATAGATGCACATTTTTCTTTTAATAATGCGGAAGCAATACTTATATTTTTGCAAAAGGTGGACTATGCCTCTGAAGCTCATCTTTGGGCACAAATAAGTACAGCTTTTAAGTGTTTGCCTATTAACAGAGTGGCTCTCTCTTGCATCTACATTTCTCTTCCACAATCTTTCATAAAAGTCTTCTGGTACAAAATGGGATTATAAAATCGGTAATCTATGGCCATTCTCTGTGCACTGGATGACTGGTCTTCTTAACACCTCCTTTATGTTTCATTTCAAGCAGCACTGGCGTCTTATGCCCAAGGAAGGTGCCAATTCTTTGCATCCTATACCATGTTCCCACCCACACGCTCTATTATAATCAATGTCTAGTGCCCGGACTGCAAACAGCTATCAGGACAATGACTGACATCACTAGTTTTGTAAAGAAAGTTTATTGAGCAGTGGAAATATGTAGGATAAAAATTGATGGAGCTCTAAAAAAGCGACTGGAGATGAGCTTTAAAGGGATGGTCCACTCATAACAGATACATCTGATTTTGGTATATGACAGCAATATCAACTGGCTTCTTCTGACTCCAGATGCCTTCATGTTCCCAACTCAGCCCACTAAAACTGGCCAGAGATGGATTAAAATTCGACCGGATTAGCAGTGAACGGCTGCATTTCAATCCATCTATGGCCCTGTTCCTGAGAAGTCAATCAGTTGATCGATTTCTTATGAACAGGCGTGTTGGAACATTTTGCTTCAATTAGCACATGCAGCCAATTGGCTGCAGCATTGATTAATGTATTCTGACAGCGGGGGGAGTCCCAGAATAGTCAGAATACAATGACATAGCAGGGAGGATTCCCCAATCCACACTTCTAATGTGTGGATGGGGGAATCAGTTCACCTCTTTTCATTCAGCCTTTTGGCTGAATGAAAAAACTGCCATGCATGGCCAGCTTAATAGTAGTCAACACCCCCCATGTGGTATTTTTTATATAAAGGACAATGCAGAGCGTGAGACTCCTACTGTTATAATATGAAGAATGAGAGTCTCTCTGGGGGTATAAAAGAATATGTATACAAAACATTTCATATTCCCGATACGTGCCCGTTGTACCATGCACTTGTGTGAAAACGTATCATTTTCTCTTTGTATTGCTTCCTTTGTGTGAAATCCCTGATGTTCCTGCCAGTCCTTCTGCTTTCCTTCTAAAAACTGACAACACTAGGCATGAGAGCACAGCATGATCAGTTCTCTAGCTTTGCTGAGAGGGGTTTATAATGGGGTCTTTTTTCTAATCTCTATACACATGTTTTGCCTTTCATTTCTATTTTAAACTGAATGAGTTGTTTTAAAAGGCGAGGGTTTACATATACATTAAGATGGGAGATTGTCAAAGGAGTCTCCAAGAAAAATAAAGCAGTGAGTGACTGAATAGGTCTACATCAAGAAGAACAAAATGTACTGGTGGACTGACCCTTTAAAATCAAGTTGGGCTATGGCTTAGCTAAAAATGTAACCTATGAACAACCATTCAACTGTCATGTATACAGATTTGTAAAAGAAAAACAAAAAGATCCTAAAAAGTTGCCTATAGTCAACAGGAATTTTTCTTCCTATAGCAGTCACCAAAAAAAGCCATTTATACAAACAAGACTCACCTTTCACTGTAGCCAAGATAAACAAGGCAATGATTGCATTATTGATGGCACAGGTAGATTTGGCCACGCAGGATAAAATAGTATAGGGATTTAACAAGTAGCTGCAAAAAAACAAAGTTGTATTAAATTTTCAGCCTTGTCACCAGTAAAGCTTTCAAAATAGATTCAGGGGATATACTGTAGATATGAGCAACCTTCCACCCTCATGGTAGTTCACATATTCTAAAAGTAATTACCCAGCAATACCAGGTATGTGAGCAATCCTGCAAGGAGCACCTGTTCTTGGCTGGTTTATGGTGAAATGATATTCCAGAATATGGCCCTTTGACAATATGCTCATCCGCACGAAACGCGTCAGTGTGGAGCCTAGCCAGTAACGTCACGCCGTCCGAGCCGCGTGGAGGCCGGCGGCCATCTCTGTTCCTGTTTTTTTGATATGTGAGTGTGTTTTCATTGCCTAATAAAAAACTCTTCAAACATACTACACAATCAGAGTTTCTTTGGGGCTGGCTGAACCAAGGAGCCCCCTCTTTTAAGGTGGAGTTTGAGTGTGGGTATAGGCGCCCTGCATCGATGAGTCCCTCATTGACTATTTGAATACTCATCACTGCATGCCTGATGACCTCCTGCTGGCTGGATGGAGGACCACAGCTGCAAGAACCGATTTGCTGATTACCTGCCGTGCTGATGGTCTGTCAGATGACCCTTACACCTTCAGTTCCTGAGCCCCAGGGATGGTCTGACAACTCAAATGCGCAGTCTTATGCACTTTCTGGTTAGTGCATATTATATATCCACCTAAAAGCCCGGAATCCACAGTATTTGCACCTATCATTGGGACTATTGTCATGTCGCAGGAGACGGCATTATTCATCGCTATAAGCACTTTATCCAACACCACTATTATTATATATTTTTTGGATTCAATTTTATTTTCAATATCAGTTTATGCCACTTTTAATCATTTGTTTTTATATTCATTTTAGCGCTGCATTTTCTATATTATTATACTGTGAAGGTTTGGGTCTGTACCTTTATGCTAGCTGCTTATGATCTACCTTTTTTCCAAGCGCTCGTAATACTCTCCCTCATTTTACAATGGCCCCAACAGTGCTCACTAGAACATTCAGAAGTTTAGAAATCTATCACCAATGCCATCAGTATGTTTTGCAACAATAAGGTTGTGAAGTTCTTGAGAGATCTATTTGCTTTTACCCACCATGAAATGTTTCTTGTGTGACATCTTGGTAATGAGACACCCTTTCATAGGTCATTAGTAGAAACTGAACCAGCTGATATTAATTTGCACTGACAAAGGGCAGGGTTGCTTTCTAATTACTGATAGATTTCAGCTGGTGCCTTGGCTTTCCATGCCTTTTTGCACCTCCCTTTCTTCATGTGTTCCATACTTTTTCCCTGTGTCATTCCATTTTATTACACATAACTTAATTTCTGAACTTTTTTGTTTTTGGTTTCTTTGTATGTATAGATTGCATTGATTGTTACCGACGTGGTGTAAATTTCATGTCAATAGCACCTTTAGAAATATATTTACCGTGTTCAATACTTATTTTACCCACTGTAAGTCACAAAAGGAAATCCTTTCAGCCATACTTTAATGTTTCAAACAACCCAAAAAGTGTAGTTGTTACCCAAACCTGAAAGTCCAGCTCTAGGTGGAGACTGGTATGTTAATAAAAACCTGTTGAAAAGGAAACATGGGAGCATCCACTGATGACCTCACGTGAAAATACAAATTGCCTGGCTTGAATACTTTGAGTCACTGACTGGGAAAAGTATACAGATTAGGAGTTACACAAGCTTTTTTTTTTTTTTCTTTCAGGTCAGTGACCAAAAGTATCTAAGCCAGATAGTAAAGTCCTTCACCAGGTTAATTTAGATGCCAGACACCCATGACTTCAAACACATACTGTAGCTGTCTTGTTTACTCGCATTTTGATCAGATGCATAGAAAAAAAAACAACAAAAGCAACATTTTGTCCCCAGAATTTCTCCCATATGTATAACAGGGATGGTAAGCAGGTCTGGTATGCCCCATACATCTAAACCCAATCAATAAAATCTCATGTAAGTTATTACATGTTAACCCCACCAAGACCCAGCATCCCTTTAACTGGGCGATGATGCCCAAATGGAAGATGTACCAGATCATGTGACCAATGTAACTGACTTTCACAGTGAGTCGTATGATCAGGAGCCAGTCCTGCTGGCTCCAGCTCATTATTAAAGATCAAGTGACATCTTTGACAGCTGGGTCACTGTACTGGGAGGGCACTCTCAGCACAGAGAGCTCTGCATCCCATGGACACATATGAGCAGCGTGTGACTGTTAAACCAACCCTATTTGCTGCTGCACATATGTGTTACATGGGTGGTTTAACATCTGAAGCTGGAGATGCTGCCATGAAGGTCTTCTTCAGAAACTTGCTACTGTGAGATGACAACTGTCTCCCAATTGTGGTTCTTGCATTACCACCCTGTCACAAGGTAGAGATTACAAACAGCCATGTGGACATTGTGCAGGCGTGTTCTGCTGTCCTCACTATCAAGAAAATCTGTAAAGGCTTCAGCGAGATAATGTAGACAGGAAATGGTTAAAAACCAAACCAAAAAGGAAGTTAGCAACATATAACAAAAAAAAAAAAAAAATAGGATTCCATCTACTTTACGTTTTAGACAGAATATAAAAAAAATGTAAATGTCTGTCAGGTTTTTGCTGCTGCATTTGTCATGCTGAAATTAAGATTTTCCCTAAATTCCTGTGGAGCCACCAAGACAGGAAACAAGCAAAATGTGTCCAAGGGACACTCACACAGCAATAATAGCTTCTTTTTTTTTTCCCCCCCAGCAGTGACTGTAGAAGAACAATAAAAAAATAGCTGTGAAGTGTATAACATTGGGTAAAGTCAGCACTATATAAAGAAAAAGACTTACAATATTGCCACTTTTAGTGGAATATAGTACATTTCAGTCGGTACTCTGAGTATTTCTAGGGATCCTGGTGAATACTTTTTAAGTTCCAAGTACAGTTTCTGCTGCTTGAACTGTGAAGAAAATAACAATTTGATCATTAAATACATAAACATTGATAATGACCATAACAGAAATCAATAACCTAAAACTGAAGGTGTAATTTATTGAAATAATTTAATAAAAAGATGAACTCCAGGGAGAATAATGAAAATACCCTTGGAGTGGAATTCCCCCGCACTGCAAGTGTTACATGCTTGTTTTGTCTAGGGCACTATTTTAAATACCATTTTACTTACTTCTATCCAGGGGTGGACTGACAACTCATGGGGCCCCTGGGCAATAGGGGGTCATGGGGCCCCTGTGTCCTTTCCCAAACTCAAAAAAGCCTATGAAAAAGGTACCAAGGGCATCTCATGAGGCCCCCTACGGACCCCGATCCCTGCTATAATCTTGCTCTCGCAGACTCCTCTGCTCCCTATGACCAGTCCCCTGCAACCAATACTCTTTGGGGAGCCACCTGCTGGTTGCGCTCTGACGTCATCACGTACAATGAAGTGCCAGCAGTTGTGCATTGTAAGTGAGGATTCCAAAGGCCCACTCAGAAACTGGAGCACCGGAGGAAAGAGGAAAGTGCTGGCTGCTTAAGATGCAAGGGGTATGGCAAATAAAAGTACTTTTTATTGTTCGCCTATACTGAGCATTTAATCCTGGTAGTGAGGGAAGAGTTCCTCTGTAAGGGTAATTTTAACTGTTCTCCAGAGTTCAGCTTTAATTACATTTATAGGCAAGTTGTGTAACATCCCTTACATTGTATGTAATCAGAGAACCCTTGTCACCTGTTTTTGTTTGTTTCTCTGGCGTAGATTGTCCCTCTATTCCTGTCTGGTAAAATGTTGTGCCCACAACAGAAAGCTATTAAAAATCTTTCCAACAGGGCCCCAGACACCAGTAAAACCAAGAAGGAGTTCTGAGCCTTACCCACTTTATCCAAGACTCAGAATGGGAGAGGAACATTAGAAGCTGCATGAGCTGAGAAAATGAGAGATCCATCGACGACTTACCGGTATCCTGCATCTCCTCCACAGGCTAGGGGGTGGGAAGGTGTTATCAGTGTATTCCTGAGCTTCAAAGCTGGGCACACACTGACAGTTTGTTTTGTTTTTTTTTTTTCCGTTCAACCAGCAGACTGAACGAAAAGAAACCCAAAAAAACAACAACATAACACAGATTGCCATACCAGCATCTCACGTATTGCTGCTGCAGCATATATATGGCCCTAAGCAGCTGCATTTCCTTGTTCAGGAGGGTGATTGGGGAGAAGGGGGGCTATAAAACTTCAGCCAAACCGCCCGCTTTGACTTGCCCCCAGCCGCCCATGTGAAAAGCCCTTACATATACGCATACAGTACATATATTGCATTAGAAACATTATTTCCTTCAAACTATATTTTTCCATGAGAAGTGGTGATCAGCCAATCAGATGACAGCTTCCATTTGTGCCTGCTGCATCTCTGGTAAAATTTCAACAAAAAAGCACTTTCCACAGGATGCAACATACGTAAAAGACACCCAAGCTGCATTAAAAATGGGATTACATGTCTCATGCAGAGGTCATTTCAGGTCATGTGAGTTTGCACCAGTTCATGAAATATCTGAAAAGAGTAATATTTTGTAATAACTGATACAAAATAAGTAGTATACAAATAAAGTGCAGCACTTAGACAATTCAAACAAAAATATATAGAAAACATGTTCAAAAATAATTCAAAATGTTCATAAGTGAAATATCAAAATAATGAAATCAAAGCAGAACAGTCCCCGTATGCTGTGATGAGATAGGAAAACTTCTGAGGATAGCCAATGTGACACCAACCACTTGCATGCAAGGCTTACCGGAAAAAAATGTGACCCCCTATTAAGAGCGGTCAATTACGCTTTTATTTAATAACATCCGGAGAAATGGGCAGATAGAATCATCCTCTGGATACCCAAACGAGAGTGATTGGTGTTCCTCCTATGCCGGTCCCTATATATGATGGCTTTGACCACTCCAAGCAAGATATAGGAGACCAGAGCTCGTGGCATTAGACATGCAAAAAAAGATGTCTCCACAGAGTGTAAAATCCTCAAATACGAAATGTATTATATGGTAAAAATGCACTCGCATGATAATGGACATAAGTCAGCGTGTACAAACTAAAATCAAATCTTTTCAGCATCCAAGATGGCCACCTGCCGGTTGCGCATGCGTGGTAGCGTGTTCTTGGCTCCGCCTTCCGCATTTCGTCACAGATGACGTCATCAGGGGCACTAGCCCCTTTGATTTCATTATTTGATATTTCACTTATGAACATTTTGAATTATTTCTATATATTTTTGTTTGAATTGTCTTAGAGCTGAACTTTATCCGTACACTATTTATGAGGTGCCTGGTATCAAGGTAAGGTGTTCATCTGCTATCTATTGTATCTTCGACCTTGCTACCACTGGAGAGGTCACTAAGGTCTTCTCTGAAGCCCGCCTCACCACCTGCCCCCTTGACCCTGTCCCCTCACAACTCCTACGATCACCCTCCTCCTCCATCCTACGCTCCCTCACTCACATCTTTAATCTCTCCCTCTCTACTGGCACATTCCCCTCCCCTCTAAAGCACGCGCACATCACTCCCATACTTAAAAAACCCTCCCTGGATCCCACCGACCTGAACAACCTTAGACCCATCTCCCTGCTGCCATTTACATCCAAACTCCTAGAGCGCTTAGTCTATAATCGCCTGAGTTCCCACCTCACTGACAATAACCTCCTTGATCCCCTACAGTCTGGCTTCCGTCCCCTACACTCCACCGAAACTGCCTTACTCAAAATCACTAATGACCTGCTAACCGCCAAAGCTAATGGCCACTACTCAGTGCTCCTACTCCTCGACCTCTCCGCGGCTTTCAACACAGTTGACCACCCCCTCCTCTTCAAAAAACTACACTCTCTTGGCCTCAGAGACTCCGATCTCGCCTGGCTCTCTTCCTATCTATCACAGCGCTCCTTCAGTGTTACCTATAACGCTACCGCCTCCTCTTCACTCCCTCTCTCTGTTGGGGTCCCTCAAGGTTCTGTCCTCGGGCCCCTTCTCTTCTCCACCTCCTCCCTTGGCCAATTGATACACTCTCAGGGCTTCAACTACCATCTCTATGCCGACGACACACAAATCTATCAATCTATCTCTCTACCCCCTCACCTCACCCCCTCAGTCTCCGCCCGTATCACAAGCCTACTGAACGACATATCGGATTGGATGTCACTCCACTTCCTCAAACTAAATCTTTCCAAAACCGAGCTCCTAGTTTTCCCAGCACGTGCCCCCCCCCCCGACTTCTCCATCAAGACCAATAACACCACCATCAGTCCCACCCCGCAAGCCAGAGTACTAGGTGTCATCCTAGACTCCAATCTGTCCTTCCAGCCACAATCACTGACAAACTCATGTAGACTTCACCTCCGCAACATCTCCAAAATACGTTCGTTCTTAAACCCGGAAACTACTAAGCAACTCATTCACTCCCTTATTATATCATGACTTGACTACTGTAACTCCCTCCTCATCGGCTTACCCCACCGCAGGCTATCCCCGCTTCAGTCGATCTTGAATGCTGCGGCCAGACTCATTCACCTTACTAACCGCTCCGTATCCGCCACCCCCCTCTGCCAATCCCTCCACTGGCTTCCGATTGCCCAACGGATAAAATTAAAAATGCTTACATTGACATACAAACCTGTTCACAACTCTGCCCCAAACTACATCACTGATCTGGTATCCAAATACCACCCAAAACGTACTGTCCGCTCCTCACAAGACCTCCTGCTCTCTAGTTCCCTGGTCTCCTCCTCCCATGCCCATCTACAGGACTTATCCAGTGCTTCCCCCATCCTCTGGAACTCCCTACCCCAATCCATCAGACTATCACCTACTCTCCTCACCTTTAGGCGCTCTCTAAAAACCTACCTTTTAAGGGAAGCCTACCCTGCCCTCAGCTAATTACCGATCTCCTCCACTCTTCCTATCACTCCATCCCCCACAGCTATTTCCTCCTGTACCACTATCCCCTCCCTCCTAGATTGTAAGCTCCAAGGAGCAGGGCCCTCGATCCCCTCGTGTATTGAATTGTATTGAATTGTATTGTTATTGTACTGTCTCGTGTATTGTCTCCCATTATAATGTACAGCGCTGAGCAAACTGTTGGCACTATATAAATCCTGTATAATAATAAAATATTAAAAAAATTGTTGCTTTAGTTCCTTAGCACAGATTTTGGGTTTTACTTTGATACAAAATAAGTGCTAATGTACTTTAAAATATACAGTCATAGCTTGTCTCACAAACAGGCAATCCTGAACCTATTAACCATTCATATGCTGTAAAACATTCATGACAAGGTAGTACAGGCCACGAAACAAAGGACAACCATTGTAAAGTCTCTTACCGATACTTTGTTATATTCTTGAACAGCCAAATAAAGTGCAAAGGCTGTAAGTGCATCTGTAAACTAAAGAGAAGGAAATCAAGTTGAGAAAATGAGCATTCTTTGTACTAGAAAAATGTTTGCTTACAAAATAAAAATTATACTAGATACTACATTAAAGGTGCAAACTGTGTGAATAGGGCCTTACACCATAGAAAACAGGAGCATGCGTACAGGTACAGATACGCGCCCATCAACACAGATCTGTACCTGTACACATATATATACTTGGATCTGCGTTTTGCAGAGTACAGCCGCATTCTGTTGTTGATTTGTATAGGCAGCTTTATGCAATACCTTTGGCTCTTGGGCACAGAACTGTGGTGGGGTTTTTTTTTTTTTTTTTTGTTCGTTTTACAGTGCACAGCCCTCTGCGTCTGTGTGAACGAGACTTTATATTCTTAGGGGGAGAGTAACTAAAACTGGAGCACTCAGAATCTGGTGCAGCTGTGGATGGTACCCAATCAGCTTCTAACTTCAGCTTGCTCAATCAAGCTTTGGGAATGGGAAGCTGATTGGTTCCTATGCAGAGCTGCACCAGATTTTGCACTCTCCAGTTTTAGTAAATCTCCCCTTTTGTATTCACTAAAATTTGTAGT